AGTGAACCATTATTGCTTAATAGCTTTACTTTAGGCGGTCAAGTTATACTGTTTTTTTCTTAACACTTGAGTTCTAACAATACAATAATATGTTCATTATTTGAAGGTTTCGTGTACTGAAAGATTTTCTTGTGCATTACGACATTTTTAAAATTCTAGTTTCATTACAAGTTTGCTAATCATTGTCTGAAGGGTTTCCAAAGTCATTGTCCAGTCTTGAGAGAACAGAAAATAAGAATGAATCCTTATTACTTGTGATTTGCGATATCTCCGGTGCAATGAAATAGTTCACAGATCCCCTCCAAGTTGGACATAGGTCGGGGCTCATTTTTGCACTAGCATCTATATAAGCCTCTGCAGAACAAATCCCGTAGCAAATCAATGCTAGAAACCAAATAATAACCAGTTTTAAGATAACTATAAAGTAAATAATTGTAAGAAAAAAAAAAATAAGTGTGGAAAAGCCATACTTCGGCACGAATGGGCCGGCTCGACCGAAGTGATACCACGGCCGAGCAGAAGACCGACGTGAAGCAACGGTTGCGTTGTGTTTCGTCGTGTGAGGTTCTGGAGGCCTAATAACTCCTCACCACTCCCTTTCCCAATCCCTGAATCCCCAACATTCCTCAAATTCCTAATCCCAAAAGCACGGTACCGCACTTGTAATTTCATTTCATTTCATTTCATTTATTTATTCATTTAACAATTTACATTGTGTCTGAATTTAATATAGGTACAAAAAAAGAGATAAGCAAATTCACATTACGAAAACATAAACACGCACACACAAAAATAAAACAATAGAATTTCATTAATTTAGGCTTCTAAGCAAGGCGGTTTATAAGTTCAAGAATCTAATCAATACAATCAATATACAGTTTCAGAAATTCAGAATAATGTCAAAGATTAGTCAAAATATAATGCACATATTGTCACACATATTGTCTCTGGTGCCTCTGGTGCCTCTGGTGTTCGGATTGCTTACCATCAGGTGATTCGCCTGCTCGTTTACCGGGTTATCCCATAAAAAAGAATAATCCTAATTACAAGCAGATTACAAAAACCCATGTCTGATGATGACGATGCTCATTCTGCGTGTAATCCACTGGATACGCTTTCAATGTTCAAAATGGTGAACACTATAAACTTGCTTAACCTGCTTTCGACATAGCGTGATGACTACCACGATAACACATCACAACTATTCAAAATATTAACCTTTATACACGACTTACGTGTGTGTGAATGTCAGTGTAATTTGGTTTACTTGGCAGCTTTTTTTGTTTATGACATGTAAGTTTCAAAGATTCATACGTATAGATATAATATAAATATATTTGAAAATGGAAGTCGATACACCGCATTTTGTCTATTATGTAAAGGTACTATTCACTGCACTGCCTCGTTGACCGAGTGGTCGCAAGTGCGACTGCCGAACAAGGGGTCTCGGGTTCGATTCCCGGGTCGAGCAAAGTATTGTTGGGTTTTTTTTTAATTTCAGTAGTAGCACGAAGTCTGGAAATGTGCCCGGTATATGGCAATAGGCTCACCCCCTATTACATGGGACTCATAACATAAATAGTGAAAAGTGAGTGTTACACTGTACAGTGGCATTAAGTGCCGCAATGTGCACCTCTGCCTACCCCTTCGGGGATAAAAAGGCGTGAGGTTATGTTATGTATGTTTGTATTCACTGCAGTTTAAGTCTAATAAAATAGATGTAAACACTCGTTAGCAAAATCTCAAACTTATCGATAGGCACTTTGTTAAAAAAAGATAGGTACCGATATCCAACACACGGCTTGCATAAATAAACGTATTAAAAAACCGCAAACACTAAAACGGAAAAGAATCGTAAAAAAACATCGTTCACATAATCAAATGCTAATTCGTGTGCTTTCTTTGCCTCTCAATATTCATTGTATGAGGTAAAATCTAAAAATAAAAAGTCTAAATTATGTAAGACTAAATTCCAATTGACCAGATAGGTACCAAATGCAAATCGCTTGGTTTGATGCAAAATACATAGGAGCATGCATGAAAAGACTGATGACTGTTGATGAAGCGAAAGAGGTATGTAGGAATCGTAGCAATTGGCGTTCCATAGTCTCTGCCTACCCTCATGGGGAGACAGGCGTGAAGTTAAGTATGTATATACGAATTTTACCTATCTTTTCCTAAGACACCTAAGATTTTTGATAGGTGATAAGTTACTTATTAATTTCATTCTCGTAATGGAAAAAGTATTTTACTAATCCGGATTCAATCCCAAACCCTGTATTTTTTTATCTAAGATCTTTAAAATCGAAATTTCTATTTTACAAAATCGGACTTGAGGTCTCAAGCTTCGTAGCAAGCACGAATGAAGCAGTCGGTTAAAAAAATCTGACTGTTTTTATACCTTTTTAGTCGTAATTGTAAAAATGAAAGGTATCACAGAAGGCCATATCGCATCATACATCACAATATTTGCTTCTCTCTATAATCCTAAGTTATAAGCTTAGAGCGACTTGATTTTTTATTTTGTCATAGATCCCCAAGCGGTCACCGGTGACCGCTCTCCCCTAATATTACATTACATTATAGACTTTATTTCCAATGTTTAGAGACTAGTTTTGTATGACCAAATTTAGGGGATGGATTTCAACGGGTTAAATAGAATTACGCCCGATTTGGTTTAAGCAAAGTGACAGTAAATACTCAGTCTTATTATAATAAAAAGTGAGTCTACAATACTTAATAGCCAATCACAGACAAGAAAAACAATTAAGCTTATGTTACACTTTTCAAACTATTGTAAATAGTGAAAAATCGCATTCATTCTCAGATAGACAGTTCAAAAGTGCCTTTCTGGTCTAATGCCGGAATACTGAAACGTTACTCAATTTTAAGTCGTGCTTAAATATCGTGCCGTCTCTGTCATTTTATAATGAATTAGTGGTGACAGAACTATACTTAAGCGTGACTTAAAATTGAGTAGCGTTTCAGTATTCCGACATAATTGAAATAAATTATTTTGAATTTAACTTTGACTACATACCTACTAAAGTAAATCGCATAGTAAGATTCGTTATTGTACTAAATTAAGTTCGTGAGAGTCAATAGTCGAAAGTTTATTACTTGGACCATTGGAGAAGACTCGATAGCCCACTGACGCGTATTACTTGCGACTTAAAACGGCAATCACGCGCAGTACTGCAGCATCTATTACCATTCCGCAGACAGATTACTTTTACAACGTACGATTTTATTGTAATTAAAATATTTGTAAACGATTTTCTCTGACTTATGATAAAATGATACGTGCGTGCACTAAAAGGTCTTATAAACTGAGATACCTCGTTGTCCAAAATGTAGAATGTGTAAATAAAATACAATTGCATTTTTTCAAATACCAAGATAACTGTAAAGCCTAGACAAGAATAATCTACTATATAAAAATAAGTCGGGTTTTCCTTCCTGACGCTATAACTCCAGAACGCACGAACCGATTTCCGCGGTTAAAATTCACTTTTAATTACCAAACGAAATGTTACATAAAACGAAGCCATCTGGTGGCGAAACGGAGTTCGCCGGGTTTGCTAGTCTACTATATAAAAATAAGTTGGTTTTGCCTTCCTGACGCTATAACTCCAGAACACACGAACCGATTTCCACGGTTTTGCATTCGTTGGAAAGGTCTCAGGCTCCGTGAGGTTTATAGCAAAGAAAATTCACTTTTAATCACCAAAGGAAATGTTACCTTACCCTATATTTTTATTCTCCTTCCGACTGCTTTACGTCCTTTAAAGCTCTTTTTAACCGATTACTAAACTTACCCTCAAAACTTTACCGTACCCAAAACCTTCCAAATATTCTTTGAATAATGTAATCTTGTAGACATCAGATATGATTTAAAACGACTTGTGCCTATACATGTCTGCGATGTAAAATCGTGTCGATGTCGTCTCGTTAGACATAAAGATGATTCGATAACATTTCGCAATATAGTACCCATACGCGTCTATAAGTTTTAATTAACACAAATTAGTGAACACGTTTTTTATTTAGTTTGTTTATGAATTTTATATTACTATTAAAATACTGCGTTAGAAAGTTTGTGCCATGTATCACGATTACTGTGTTGTAATTAAAATAATTATTTTTAATTAGGATATAAGATTATTTAACCTTGATGGCTTGATCAGTCAATCTTGTAATGTATCTTGTTATTATGAAACCTGTCAGGGAACTTTGGCTGAACACATGTGCGTCTTTAATTCTTTACAAGGGTAATATTTAACGTCTACCCCTTGAAGACCTTCTAGACCGATTTGCTGGAAGTGACGATCTATAAAATTAGACATTATTGAAAGAATGTTTCCTAAATTTTGATTCATTGTTTCTATTAGCACTGTTTTTTTATTTCGATTTATGGGCGCGTACACAAAACTTGGATGCGCATTCGCAACGCAAAAAATAACGATATGATTGCGTTGCGATTTCGTGCGACAAGACGACTCCTAGGGTGACCATACCGTCGACGACCGTCAACCATACTTAACGGATTTTAAATTGAAAACTAGGTCGTGACATGGATCGTAAAAAGAAGTTTGCACTTCTGTTATTGCTTAGAAGATTAGGTAAAAGAAACAAAGAAGATTACGGGAAAATAAGATCTTGGGATGCGTAGAGGGAGCTCTCATATTTTTGCGATGCGACGCCGCATCGCTTAGAAATTTTAACGTTTAAATACTTTAATAAAACATTTTTCTAATCTATGTAATTTTTTTATAAAACCTTGCCTCACACTATTATTTCGTCAATAACACTACGTAAAAAAAACAATAATTTCACACAAACAATTGCTCCTTGAGTAAATCGAACCCGTTACAAATTGAGCGGCAGCTGGTTGTCCAGCCACTGTAGAGGTACAAACCGTGCAGTCAATTTTTTGTTACAATCTTTAATTATATTATCTTCAACAGCACTTTTCTTTCACCAATTTTTTTATCCACAAGATCCGTTAAAGAAGTACGTGCCTAACTATCACATCTCCTCGGATCCGCCTGACAACGGTGACGGGCCGTCGCTGATGACCAGCACGTCTATCACACAGCAATCAGCCCCCAGGCTTAAAAGAAATTCTTAATTTCACATCTAAGTGTTCAAAATGTATTTGACCTGGGGCAAGAACTGAGAATCATTTTTTATCCGGTAACATTATGTTTAGGTAAAAAACTAGTTTCTTTTTAATATAATTAGAAATACCGTGCCTGTGAATGATAGGATTTCTTTTTTGATTACCGAAACTTTTAAATATTGAGACGGAGTCTGGAATTGAACTCTTTGAATAGCAATAGGATCATCCCCTATTACTTTTCTGAGACTTAAAACATAACTTGTGAATAGAGGATGTTGCGCACACTTTTTTTAATTAAAGATTAATGGTTATTTTATATTAAAAACTACAATCGAACGTTTTCAGTAGCTTGATAAAATAAGTAATAAATTAACTTCTGACAAATGTAAATGTGTTCTGAATTTATAAGGAAATCTTAGATAATATAATTAATCTATCGTTTACAATAAATAAATAAAATAGACTTAACGTAATGCTTTTTAAACAAATAGTAACATCGCAACCATAAATAGGAAGTAGATGTCGACTTAATTGTATGTTGGTTTATTTATCCGTAACTGCTTAATCACTACATAGTATAAAACAAAGTCGCTTTCTCTGTCCCTATGTCCCTTTGTATGCTTTAATCTTTGAAACTACGCAACGGATTTTAATACGGTTTTTTTACATAGATAGAGTGATTCAAGAGGAAGGTTTATATGTATAAATACATGCATATTGCACCCGTGCGAAGCTGGGGCGGGTCGCTAGTTAATTTATATAACATTTTCAACAGAAATAAATTATCGTACACTATTAATAAAAACATCAAGTCCCGAGTGAACAGGTTACTCATAGGTAGGCGTGCTCCATCGTCGACCACATCATCGCTTACCACCAGGCGAGATGGTGGTCAAATGTAAACCTGCCAAGTATTAAAAAAACAGGCAAACTGAAACATTGGCAAAACAAAAGTATAGTAATAAGTGCAAACAAAGTTAATAAAACTCCATTTACAAGCAGAACCTCGAGCTATAACTATGTATAGGTATAGTTCTCTATGAATCAGTCATATCATAAGTATTATATCATAAAGTTCGTCGCTGCCGACATATTGAATAACTGATTGACATTTACATAATTATGTTGGCGCCATATTGCTTTCTTAGTTACAGCTGTACCTGCAATAAAATGTAGACAAATAGACAGACATTTTATGGTGTCTCTGTTCATAAAGGGTTTCCATCATTATTCACGGCTTTAAAGCACGCATTTTCAATAATAAGTTTTTATTTACGGGATAAGCCGGTAAATGAGCAGATGGATCACCTGATGGTAAGCTATCGGCGCCGCCCGTTACCGGCCTTTTAGGAATTGGGAATTTGAGGATTGTGGGGGTTTCGGGGATTGGAGAGACTATTGGGCCTCCGGTAATCTAACACACAGGAAACACAGTTTCATATCGGTTTTCTGTGAGGCCGTGGTATCACTCCAGTCGAGCCGGCCCATCCGTGCCGAAGCATGGATCTCTCACACTTAAAACTGTACAGTTCAACTGTACATTTGTTTATTACATTTTGTAGTTTATGTCACTTCTGTGTGCACCTCTGCCTACCCCTTCGGGGATAAAAGGCGTTATGTTGTGTGTGTAGTTTATGTCACAGTTCTATGTGCAGTAAATAAATCGTTACATTATGTAATGCAATGTATAGGTATTATACTAATTACTAACTTATAATACAAATTAATAACTTTGTTAGAACTTATTTACACCAGGCCACATTGGTATAGGACTGCTGTTAAGAAACACTACTGAAGTAGTACTATTATATCAAATGAAAATACATATATTATACGCAAGAAAACATAACATATCATATAGATTATTATACAACAAATAAAATGCTTACATCAATATACCTACTCAGCATACCGAGGTGAACCTTAACTGACCTAAGACCTAAGTAGTCATCTAATCGGTTAAAATACATGGGTAACCCGGAACTCGAATGTGTGACTTACGGTAATGATACTAGTACATTATGTACCATACCACATTTATGACATTACATTCTAAATCATACGTCCCCTTTTTGTTTTTTTAGTAATTCACTTATTTAGTAACAAAAATACTTTTACTTACATGTTTAAATTCTAATAACTTAAGAGGTTTTGTTGTAAGTAACGAAAGTATAACTTTAAAAAAAAAAATACTATCTATTCCGTTTGGTTTACTTGCTAATTTGTTTAACTTGTTAACGTCGCGCCTTTTATCCCCGAAGAAGTAGGCAGAGGTGCACATTACGGCACTTAATGCCACTGTACAATGTAACACCCACTTTTCATTATTTATGTTACCAGTCCCATGTAATAGAGGGTGAGCCTATTGCCATATAAAAGACACAATTCCAGAGTCCGTGCTACTACTGAGAATTTTTTAAACCCCAGTATTACTTTACCCGACCCAGGACTCGAACCCGAGACCCCTTGCCCGGCAGTTGCAATTGCGACCACTCGGTCAACGAGGCTTGTTGGACTTGTTACGCTTAAATATTCTGGCCGAATCGTTATAGAAGAAGCTCTATATTCAGCACTTTAGCAGTCATGTCTTGTGGCTGATATAATTATGATGAAGATGGAATATTAGTATATAAGTAGGATGCGCGACCTCACTACGACTGCACACGCTACTAATGAGGAAGAGTCCTCTGTGACTCGAAACTAAAAGAACTGTATAACATTAGTTAATTGGTCTTCCGGTCCGTGGTCTCCACTCAAGCACTTTCCTGGCCCCTCTACCCATCGCCAGAGTTGAAGGGTGGGTGCCAGTGGATGCAAGTGGCTAGTTGTCGTTCCACGTGGAGGACTAAGGGGGAGGCCTTTGTCCAGCAGCGGACGTCTTTCGGCTGTACTTAGATGATGATTAGTTAATTCAGTATATCTCATAGTTATTATACAAAGATGAAATACACTCACGTCACTAAAGAAAATCCTTAATATCGGAAGAAATAAAATATTTTATTCTTATTTATTGAGTCACATACTCATGAGTACATTACGTAGGTACCTCATAATGACACATCGAGTCAAAGTTTACAGCACATAGGTGAGTGGTGTTATGTAAGGTTAGATCTATCTGTCTGTCGGATCATTGTGCAGATGTGGGAAGTTGGGCCTACCATCTATTAATACCTACTAGTGAACAGTCCAACAAATGAAATCGGTTACCTGTATGGGTATTTGACAAAGAAATTAAAAGGCTAAGAGATATTTAAGTTGTATACTCCAAGTCCTGTAGTATAACATAGCGTAACATCACGCCTTTTATCCCTGAAGGGGTAGGCAGTGGCGTACAATACGGCACTTAATCCTACTGTACAATGTAACAAAAACTTTTCACTTTTAATGTTATGAGTCGCATGTACTAGGAGGTGAGCCTATTGCCATATACCGGGCACAATTCCAGACTCCGTGCTACTACTGAGATTGTTTTTGTAATCTTCAGTTATACTTTGCCCAAACCGGGAATCGGCCAACGAGGCACCTATAGTATACTTACCTACTATTTTTTAGTTTTCATACCTTTACATTGCGAGGTTCTCATCATAAATTACTTACGACATAACACAAGAAGTGGTGCCAAAAAATAACATTTTCAACTATGTGTAGTCGACGAACATTAGCCAACATCACGGTCAATATAACAGCGCAAATTACTATAACAGTTATTAAAAACTTAACCTCTATACATATTGTAATCGTCTAAATATTTACGTTAGAAGTGAGCGGGAACGAGCGAGTATGTGAGTGTAGCCTTGTGTTGTAACGGTCTTGTCATGTTGTGCGAGCGAGCGATTTTTGGATAGATAATATTATTGGGCGATTCTATTTAAATGTATTATTATACGCCATGAGTTGAATACTTAAATTCATTTTCAGAGCAACTATTATTTACATTTTAAACTGAACACATGTTCAAGGTCGACAACTCCTGGCACTTGTATCCAGTGGAATTATGAGAACAATGAAAGTGAGTGACAGAATTCATTATATTTTGTCAGTTTCAAAAGTCCTAATCAAGAATTATTTCAAATAAAAGCTTTGACGTTGATAGCTCTAATCTAGGTTCTGAAAAAACACATTGCGAAAATAATGTACCCTACCGTACACTATATCCCTAAACGACGGATGTAACACGCCGCTACTCAGAAGAAAATACGGGTCGAGAAAAAAAAACTGGTTTAGATCTTATTGGCTGAGTTAAATGAAAGGAATATGTAACAAGATCACGGTGAACCGATGAGTTAATGTTTATTGACTAGTTTTAAGGGCAAGGCAAGGTTGTTACGATTAAGAACTATTTAATGACGTAAACACTTAAGTAGAATTGTCCTTAGATAGGTTTTATTGGTAAGTAAATCTTTATGCATACATAACATAACATAACATCACGCCTTTTATCCCCGAAGGGGTAGGCAGAGGTGCACACTATGCCAATGCACAGTGTAACACCCTTTATGCATACGTTTGCACATTTAGTGAACGGTATGAATAAAAAAAATCACAGAATCAAAAAAGTTTTTAACTAGGCAGCACCCAAAAGCAGTAACTTAATTTCTTTATTGTGTCTCCGCAAAACTCAATGTGTAGGTAAGTGTGAGTCTAACAAAAAAGTAATGACATGGAAACCTCTAGAAAAATAGTTAACTAATCTTCTTTTAAGTAAAATTAATAAACATATTTTAAATGAATACCTAAACATAGTTAAATTTGCTTTCCGCTGTCGCTTCTGCTTATCACTATGTATATGACCCTAACTTTTTGTTACCGACCGATGAGTCGCGTCGCATCGCCACGGGTGACCGTCACATTGGAAGCAGAGAAAATTAGATTATTAATACATTCATTAATGCTAATACCCATTTTATTATAGAAATAAAATTGTATTCAGCATCGAAATTACTATAATGTGGGCGGCCTACTGCAAATATTGTTAGGAAACCGTTTCTAATTTGTTTGTATTCATTATT